GGATTTTTTGATGCACTTCTGACACCAGGTACTCTCAACTCTGTTAAGAGTTCCATCCCCCCATTCCCAAATTCCTTTAACCTGGATCTCGAACCCCCCCCCCCCCATTTTGCATGAATGAGCCCCAGCCTTAAGAGGGCTGAACCACACCCCCTTCCTAAATAAATACCCCCAGTTACCAAATGAAAAAATAAATATTGTGAACACCCATCTACCCCCAACCCACCAATGGGAAACGCCTAAACTTGGGGCCCCAGCCATTCACCCACAAAGTTCCTTTTCTACCCTTCCACACTTCATTGCCCAGCTGAGGGGGGTGGAGGGAAAAGACCATTAACCCTTCTGTTGCTAGGGCACCCCTCCCTGGTTATCGTGATCCAAGCAGAGCCAGGGCTGAGGGGAAGAGAATGATGGTGGGTGGGATGTGGAGACCAACAGAGGTACCCCGACTCCTGCTCCTGCCCTGGTTGTATCGAGCACTGCCCCCTCCTCCTTTGCCCCCAAGCCCATCCCTTCGAGGAGGGCGAGGAGGCCTTGGAGGCCGGGCTGGGGGAACCACAGGTGCTGCCCCAGCCTTCCAGTCATCTGCATACTGTTGTCCCCCTCCAGAACCACTGGCATCCTCATCTGGGCCGATAGAGAGGGACAGAGAGAGACAGGGAGAGGTGGGAAAGACACAAATGGAATTAGAGCAATTGAGAAAAAAACAGAAAAATATAGACATACATGAAAATGTCATCATGAAACCAATGATTTTGCATAATTAATATCTGAAAGAGATGGGAGGCAGATACACAAATAAAAGTAATTGACAGGAGTGCCAGGGAAGGAGACCACTCACTGGTCTTTCACCCCCAACCCCTGAGGTCGGCACTCAATAAGCTTAAATGAATGGGAATGAGTGAAGCTAGTACCTAGGAAAAAGGTGAGGCAGGGCAGCAGTGCCAGGGACTGGCAAGGTAGTGGGCGGGGCCTCGAGGGACAATGGGGAGTATTCAGAGCAGTTAGGGGTGGTGGGCGGGACTCGTGGGGGTGAGCTGAGCTCCAGGGCTGTGGGCGGAACTTTAGGGGCAGGGCTCTAGCCTGGGGGCGGGGCTCCGGGCCTCACCTGCATCATGCATGTCCAGGTCCTGGCCCAGCGCAGCTGCCTTCATCCTGGCCGTAGCGGCACGAAGATGCAGCCTCCGCCGCCTGGTCGGGACGTCGGGACCCGAGGCCTCCAACTCCGGGTTGTGATGCTCGGCCAGGGAGCCCACGACCACAGGCGACAGGTACCTGCGAGCACAGCCCCCTGAAGGCTCTGCCGCCTTCCCTCCTTCCCGGTCCCCGAGCCCCTCCCCCACACTGCCGACGTGGAGCCCTCACCGGCCTCTCCCAACTCCGGTCCAGCAGGGTGCAGCCTCCTGCGAGATGTCTGCGGCCATGCGGTTGTCCCCGCACACTGTCAGGGGCAGCCCCGCCCAGAAGCCCCGCACTCTGCCCAGCCGCTCACGGAGCTCCCACACCTGTGCGGTGGAGAAAATAAAAAAAAACAAAAACAGGCCAAGCTGCAGCGTGTCCCCAAGGCTGTCCAGTCACTCCCGCCCACACCTGCACCTCGTCCACGCACCAGCCGGTGCAAGTTAGTGCCTGCCGCCGTCGTAGGCCGCTCCTCCTCGGCTACCACCCTCCATGACCGGCTGGTCTCTTCCCGGGACACTGGGGCACGACGGTTACGAGCTTGCACCGGATGGGGGGTCCCGCATTCTAGAAACACCTGAATTCAGGGAAAGAAAGCAAGAGTCTGAAGCGAACCACACAATGCCCACTTTCAAATCTACAATCTTCCCAGATGCCCTGCAGTTTCTTTGACACCCCGCCTGGTCAGTGTACCCCAGACTCACCTCCACCCTTCCCTCTCCCATACCTTGGCTGACACCTTTACACTGTTCTCCTGCAGGTGCATCAAACCCTCTGAGATTTTCACCCCAATGGACTCCGCAGCCAGCTCAAAGGAAAAGGGTCCTTGGAGTTTCTCAGCCAGCAGCAAGAGACCATCTTGAGGGAAGGGAGAGTAGGGGGTATGCATTGAATTGGGATGTTCCCACAAATCTCACTGGGGCCTTAGAGGGAAACTGGCCTGTGTTGGGGGGGATGATCACACAAGAAGAGCCCCCTCCCTCCTGTTCTCTCCCCATATGGTTGTAGGTCCCCCTCTTCTTACACTGATAGCCCCCAACCTTGCTGAGGGCCCTCCTCCACTTGGGCTTTCTTGAGCCCCCTCACCCAGATATCCGCCCCATTCAGGCTCCAGTCCCCTGCTGCTGAGACAGCCATGGGCCACATTGAGGCAGAAACCCCGGCAGGGCATAAGCGAAGGGACTCCCCGACAAAGGGGGCAGCCGATCAGACGCATCAGAGCCTGCCTGCAGCCTTCCGACATGGGCACCTGGGGGCAGAGAATGGGTTTGGGCCATCCACAAACATCTTGGCTACTCTTAGCCAAGCCTGGTGCTGGGCACAGAGAGAAGTCAAATACTGCAGACCCATTTCCCCAGGCTCTAAGTTGGGAGCTGGATGTGAGCCTTCTGGGGCAAGTGAGGTCACAAGACTAATACAGGGCTGAGAAGGGAGGTACCTAGAGGCCAGGTTGCAGGTTCTGCTTTGTGTGAGAGGGGTATGACTAGGGTGTTACTGGGGGTGGTGGTGGTAAGGAAAGATTCATGGCCAAGAGAGAGCACAAGATAGCTGAGGAGGGAGGGAGGAAGGAGGTCATGGGGCTAGGAGGTTGGGGGACAGGATGGTTGGAGGAGAGAGTCCTTCAGCAACAGGGAAGAGGGAATCACTGAGGGGTCTTGGGAGGCTCTGTGGGGGCAGTTCTCCAATCTTGAACCGCTGTGGAGATGAACAGGCCCATTGAGATAGGCAGGAGGCATGTGAGTCATCAGAAGAGTCAGAGGTCACAGGAGATCATGTAAGGACCCGGTGGAAGCTTGACTCTGGCCTTCCTGGCTTAACCTGGAACACCAGACCCTGAGGGCTGATTAGGGAAGGCCCTGGGCCTCTCCTGTCATCTGGTTGCCCGTTTTTTCCCCTCCCTGGGCTCTGTCCACATCCAAGTCCCCTCTAACCTTAAGTGCTTCACTGACCACATTTCTTCCGGTCTCTAGACCCTGGACAAAGGCCCGAGCAGCCACCAGAGCCCGAGTTATCTGGTGGGGAAAGAAGGTGGAAAAAAACCACACACAACATTATTAATGTCAGTCAAGACTAGAATGGCGAGACACCAAGGTGATGAACAGTGTGTGTGGGGGGGGGTAGGTTTGTGGTGTTATCTTGGGGTGGGTACAGTGTTGGGCGATACAGAGAAGAGGTTCCATAGGCCTAAAGGAATTGCAGTCTAGAAGGATCAGGGGAAACTGGTTTGGAAAAATCTGGAGGGCTTGTGTTGCACATGGCTTGGAGATAGACTGTCTCAGAATATGGAACTTGAAGAAGACTGGGGTGTGAGGCCCAGCACCACCACTTATTGGTTATGAGACTTGAACTGCTGAGAGCCCCGTTTTTCTCCTCTGTAAAATAATGATGCTCTTAACCTCAAATCATGGTGACAATTCAATGAGATAATGTAAACAAAGATGCTTCCCAACTATTGAATGCTCAACTCATGTTTAGTTGAACCACAGGAAGTCAAGGTGTTAGGATTAGAGAGGTATTGGCAGATAAATGGCTGGGGGTGGAGGGCAAGTGTGTGTATAAAACTAGGGCAAAGAATGGGGGTGGGCATCTACTTAGAGGAGGCCAAGGAACACTGGTCAGGCATTGGCCACTGGGGCTTGAGACAGGGGTCACCAAATCGGAGATGCAGGATGGAGGAATCAGATCAGGGCTGCCTTGGGCACGAAGGGTGGGGAGAATGAATGGTGCATATATCAGAGGGCACTAAGTCACCGGTGACTGAAGCTCAAGCCATGGGGTCCCCTCACCTGTAGGCGGAGGCGGCGAGGTGAGTCCCCAAAGGGCTGCAGAGAGCCATCAGTAGTTGAGGTGAGACGAGTGAGGCAGAGCAGGAAGTCAGGGGGGAAGCTGTACTGTGGGTGCAGCAAAGGGAAGGCTCTCTCCAGGAGCTGTGCCCAGAAATCCGCCAAGGTGTCATCTAACCCCTCACCAGACTTCTCATAGTAGTCCCGCAGGCCAGAGAACAGACTATTGAAGATGAGGGCGTGCTGGGAATACAGGCGGCCATAGGAGTGCGAGAAGAGCTGGGCCAAGGAATGCTGGGATATGGACAGCATCTCCCGAAAAAACTCTTAAACAAAGGTGGGGGAACCAGAAGAAGGGACAGAGAAGAGGGAGAATGGAGAAAAGGCAGAGGCAGGAGGGGACAAGGAAGAGAAGAGACAAGTGAATTAGAAACTGAGTGAATTGGAGATCTGCAGACTGGAAACAAGGGAGGGAAGGGTCCTGGAGAGAATGAGTGGGGATTGGGAATAAACGGGTAGGGCAGTGAGTGGGAGGGAGGAATTCTGGGGTGAGTGGAGGACTGATTTATGATTCTAGTAGGGAGAGGAGACAGGAAGCTAGGTGGGATCATAAACACAAAGAGGGAGTGTGAACCATATCTGGGGACCCCCAAGGTCCTCACCATTAAACTTTCTGTGCCGGGCAGCCAGTGTGTGAACCAGGAAGGAGCCACTGTCCTCCACCAGGCCACGAAAGGTGACCTCAGCATCCCTGATCAACTTCTGCTCTGTCTCACTGGAACAGCAGGTGTACTCCTGGGGACAGATCTGGAGGTGCTCACCTGGACAGAGGAGACGGGAGGAAGAGAAGATGGTGAGAAAGGGTTGCATCAAAGTCCTTCCATCTCCCACCTATCTCAGGGGGCTGATCTTCCTCTTCCACCTGCGGGGCCACCTTTTCCATTGTCTGCCCTATCAGCCCTACCTGAATCCTCCTTAATGTCCCCTCATCCATCCTGAGTCCATCCCTATCTGCTAGATCATGAGATTATCTATTTGATAATCTGCCTTGTGGGCCAAATTAGTGACCAGAATGTCTTCAGGTCACCCTCCCCAATACTGCACAACCCCATGCCTCCAGAGACTGGCAAGACTTCTTATGGGATGAAGAATGGGGCTTGCAGGGGTGGGGTTACTTGGTGAGCAAAACGAAGCAAACAAACGAAGCTCACAGAAATTGCAGGGGGGGGGGGTGTCCCTGGCTGTGAAGAAAGACACTCAGGGGTGTGCTAATTACCAGACAGGGGGATTCCTGGGGTGGGGGTGGAGTGAGAGCTATTATGTGAGCAGGAGGGTTATTGTGGTCCTGGTAAGGAAGTTACAGGAAGAGGAGAGGGATGAAAACAATTATCCTAACGGTCAAGCTGAAAGGGAAGAGAGTTAATTGTGAGATGGGGAGGACCCGTCCCCGCCCCCTCCCGTCCCGGATTTCTTTATAGTTTTCCTCTTTCTTCTCACCTGAGATGAGGGAGGGAGGGATTAGGTTTAAGCTATATCCCCTGGCTCCCAGCACCTGCCGAGTCTCTGCACAACTCCGGACGACCTTTGCCTCACTCCCGGGTCCCGGTCCTGGACCAGAACACAGAGGGAGCAGCAGAAGCAGGAGAGGTCGCAGCGCAGACATCGCTGCTGTCCTCCCTGGTACGGGGCAAAGTGAGTCCTAAGGAGGGAAGAAGAGCCGACAGAACTCCAGAATTTGGTTCTCGGCCACGGGACGTCTCCAAAAGAAGAAAAAGAGCGCGACCCGCGAAAACTGAACGACCCCACCACGATCGCTGGACCAGGCTGCATCTGCGGAGACAATGGGAGCCGGGTAGCCGGACAGGGGGCGGGGCCGAGGCGAGGTCCCGCCAATGATAATAAGAAAGCGGCCTTGGGGGCGGGGTCAAGGGAAAAATGAAGCCAATGTAGAAAAGCTCGGCGGGGGGGCGGCGGGACCCAGCTGCACGCAGGAGGTAGGCGAGATGGGGGCGTGGTCTTCGGGAGGGGCGTGTCTATCTGGCTCGAAGGACAGGGCCTGGGCGAAATCGAACCTATGGTAGTCTAGAAGCCGGCCTGAAGTGTGGCCGAACGCTCAGCCAATGGAAGGAGACATTGTGGTAAAAGGGGCGTGGCCAGGGTGGAGCGCCTGCCTGCGCGAACCCACGTGACAGGACCGCCTGCCGCAGGGCTGGCGGCCGCTCGAAGCCCAGCAAGCTGTGTGACTGGAACGTGAGGAGCACGAGCTCGCACTGTCCCAAGTCTCGCGATACTTCCCAGATGCGTGGCGAGCAATTAACTTCGAGTCTGCGTCTGCGCACAGCGCGTCTCGTGCCTTCCCGCGCTTTTTCTAGACGTACTGGACACCTGAGGGAGAGAAGTCGCGCTGCCGCTGCTGTGTCCGAGGTGGGCTGCCCGCAGAGACCTGAGCGGATCCGGGGTGACTCCTCAGCCGTCTCTCCAAACTTCCCCGTGGACCCCAGATTAGGCCGCGCCCCACCTACCTGCCCCTCCCTACTCCTCCGTGCAGCCGTGGGGCCCCGGAACCCCGTCTTTAGCCGGGGAGACATTAATCTCCTAAACTGGGGTTCCTTGGTCTGGATAAGCTTCCCAGGGTCAGTCATGGAAAACAGGCCAGCTCCTTCCTTGATGCTCTTCAGCCTGTCTGGCCCAGTTAGAATAAATGGCGCTTCCACCCACACATCATTCCTGGGGAAGTCAGGAGTCTGAGGGGCTATTTATTTTTAAACGGTAAGGTCCCTTTTCTTACACCAGCCAACCTATCCCCTCTTGAATCTTTTAAGGGAGATTTGTGTCTGAGGCTGCTGGGGTGTGCAAACCGTTTCTCTGGCCAGTATTTAGTTATTTATTTAAAGCAAAATCTGTGTTCCCTTTCACTAGCCAATTTATCCCTTCTGAAGCAGCTAAAAGGGATTTGTGTTTGAATCTGCTGTGTTACATAAACCGCTAGCCAATTAAAAATAGTAATATTATTATTACTGTTTTGAGACAGGGTCTCCCTGTATAACTGGCTGGCCTGGAAAGCACTATGTAGGCTAGGCTGTCCTCGAGCTCACAGAGATCCACCTGCCTCTGCCTCCTGAGTGCTGGGATTAAAGGCCTGTGCCACCACTGCACCCAGTGGTTTTTTTTTTTTTTTTTTTTTTTTTTAAATTTAACTGCACTGAAGATTGAACCTCCCACTCAAGCCCTCTATTACTGAACTATAATCCTCAGGGGTCTTTTTTTATTTTTTATTTTGAGACAGGATCTTAGTAGTTGCCCAGGGTCTTGAATTCACTGTTACCCAGGCTGCCTTTTGAATTTGTTAAGCCTCCTGTCTCAGCCTCCTAAGTAAGGGATTATGGGCTTGCACCATTACCTTATCTTCCTGTCTTTGTGGTGCTGGGGCCTGGAACCCCAGGGCATCTTGAATGCTAAGCAACTGCTCTGCCAAGGAACTACACACCCAGCACTTGAGGCAGGGTGTCCCCTTAGTACCAATGATGTGGTTGGCTAACTCTGTATTATTTTGGCTCCCATCCCCCAGTACCAGGGCCCTGTCCTTGGAGATGGAGGCCGAGGTCAGGGCTGGGGATGGAGAAGTAGTAGGACTAGAGATCTTTCCTCTTTTCCCCCAGCTGAATCAACATGTCTACTCTGCGGTCACCCTCCCCCCAGTTTCATGGCTCCTCCCCAGGCAGTGTGCCCTCCCCACTTCAAAAGGCTGTGGGAGGTGCACAGATGATGGTGTCTCCTTCTTCTTGTTCATCCATTAATCTGTCCTGGGATGACAGGGACTCACAGGATACTACTGAGTGGTAAGTGAAATTGGTGAGAGGTTGTTGCATTTTGGGGACTCCCTTCTGTATCCTCAGCAACTTTCTATTGTTTTCTTATGTGAGACTGTAGGAAAACAACAGAAATGTGAGGAGCTGGAGAGATTGCTCAGCAGTTAGGGGCACTGGCTGTTCTTGCAGCTGTCCAGCATTGGAATCCTAGAACCCACATGGCAGCTATCACCCATCAGTAACTCCAGTTCTAGGGGATCTGATGCCCTCTTCTGGCCTCTGTGGGCACTGCATGACATGGGTGCACTTGTATACATGCACACAATACACACACATAAAATAAAAATAAAAAGCAAAGGAAAATAAAGAGAAAATATCAGAAATGCTGTTAGTGAAAGCTGGTGGATACACCTGTAATCCCAGCACTTGGGATGTGGAGACAGAGCGACTAGGAGTTTTAAGACCAGCCTCAACTACACAGTGAGTTCAAGGCCAGCCTCAACTACATGAGCTCTTGCTTAAAACAACAAAACATTAGCCAGGCATGGTGGTGGCACATGCCTTTAATCCTTTAAGCCCTTGGGATACAGAAGCAGGTGGATCTCTGTGAGTTTGAGGCCAGCCTGTTCTACATAGAGAGTTCCAGCCTAGATGGGACTTCAGGGAGACCCTGTCTCAACAAAAACAAAAATCAACCCCCTCCACACACACAAATGGGAGGGAGGAAGAGGGAAGCAAAAGGAGAAGAAAGGGGAAGGGAAGAAATACTACACTGGTGCATATCAGTGACACCCTGCCCCCTTCAGTTCTCCTCAAGTTTCTTGGCTGCCCCACACTGTGTTAACATCAAGAATTAGAAGAAAAGAGCACATCTTAATTGTAAGTTCAAGTCCAGCCTGGGCTACATAGCAAGACCCTGCAAAGAATGCAACAGCATATCTTGCTTTGAATCTACCTTGCTCTCTAAACCTGTCTTGAACACGTCAGTGTTTAGCATGTGCAAATGCTGGTTAAAGTGGGGACTGTGGGACACTTACAAATAAATGGTATATTTGTGGTTTGAAAATTTGTAAGGACTTTATGTGCATGAGTGTTTTGCCTGCGTGTATGTAAGTATACCTATGTTGTGCAGTCCCATGGAGGCCAGAAGAGAGCGTTGGATCCCCTGGCACTGTAGTTACAGGTGGTTGTTAGCCACCATGTGGTTGCTGAGACGCAAACCCAGGTCCTCTATAAGAACAGTCAGTGCTCTTAACTGCTGAGCCAGCTCTCTAGCCCTCTCTTTGAGATTTTAAAAACAGATCCACCTATCCTTATTTGTTATGGTTTTATGAGTTTATT